CCGAATGTGGAAACGTGTGCGTGGGCGTTGCAACTGCTACGCCCCATCATCAGAATCCAATCAAATTAACAACAACAGGCCACAGAAGCATCAGCAACAGGAGGAAAGGCGGAAAAGGGACCGGCGGCAGGAGGAACGGAACAGCCGCCGTGTCTGGGCTTATGAAGCCCCTGATGAATACCAGATCCCTTGGCCCAATCGCACTAGCGAAACTGAAATTCAAACTGACCCCCCGCCTGTCGATGGAACGTTAATTTCAATTTGATTTCCGTGCCGGAGAAAGAGGGAAACCGTGCGTCTGAGCAACAATTATACGGCAACTTCATTAGGTCAACATGCGGCAGGGTCGGAGAGCTGTATAGCTGTATAGCCGTCGAACTAGAGAAAGGGGGTGGCGGCCATGAGGGGGCGGGATCGTTGGTTTGCGGCTGACGCAATGCCGACGTTTGATGACGGAGGCGGATGCGTAAGGGGTAGATTAATCAGGGTAAAACTATTAATTAAATACCAATTCATTTCCGCAAATTCAAAGCACACACATACACACAGTCATAGATGGAGGCCAGCCCAACCATCCACCCACAGACGAGGTCCTTTGTGTGGGTTTTAGTTGGATTTCTATTTCAGCAGGAGAAACTACTTACAATAAGCACCGCAGTGGTTAGTTTGATTTGAATTCGGACGGGGATTTGGGTCTGGATTTTGATTTTCAAATAGCCATTACTGGGATACTTGTGTATCAGGGGTGCTGGGCCGGAAGTGTTTTCAGCCTATTTAAGTGCAGGTGTTATTGGACGAAAGTCTGGAATTTCGGGCAGAAAATGATATGTATCCATAAGTGGTTTCCTTTTTAAAGCCTGACTACCTGTTTGCTAATACAATAACTGACAAACCAGCATAATTTAGTCAAATCATTCAGCGTTAAATTAACCAAATCAGAAGCCCATAAATAGTCATTTAGGAGACAGTTTCACCCCTGTCAGGGAAAGTCCTAGCCCATCCAGTGATGACAACTCCAATTGCCCCAGGACATTGTATCATTCGCCAAACGAAACAGAGCCGAAAAAGGAGCAAAATGCAAATGGTAGCAAAAAAACGTAATAATAAAATCCCCAAGCTTATCAGTAAGCGCAGCAGTCAGGACTTCCACAAAAACAAAAAAAAAAGAGGAAAACCCCAACAGGCGAGGGGGTAAGGGGGTCGGCAATTGAATAGCCCAGAAAGATCTCGCGACGGAGAAAACGAGAGCGGGAGCTCTCCAGCTTTGCTCATCCGGTGTGTCAACAATTCCCAAGCTTCAACGCTTTGATGTTGCCAGGACCAGAGGTGGCGGTGCTCGATGAACAGGACGATGGAGGAGGCTGGAGAAGGCTGGAGGAAGAACTGACGGACGGAGCCACTAAGCCCAGACAGTGTCATCCACTCTGGCGGTGATGGCATCATTAACGCACATCCCGGCCTGCCTTTCGGGCACAGGCAGCCGTCACCGATGGTTCTCCGAGTCCTGAGTCCCTTGCAGTCCTGAATCGAGGTGCGCTCCCGTTTCCGGCTTTTGAAGTTCGAGCGGCAAGCTTTTAATTTTTCTTTGTTTTCACACTGGCGTTTGAGGCCAAAAGGCGTAAATTAATCGAAGGCTTAATTAGTAGACACCAGCCCAAGGACTCGTGGGCTCCCTGGCGCCGCCAACGTGGCGTATGATTAATAAACAGCTCCCTAGCTCCCTGGCGGTTGCATTCAACCGATTTATGTTTTGTACACTAATTATGGGCATCAATGAAGGTGAAGGTTGTCAATATTGCCGCAACCCAGTAAGGGAGGCGAAAAATTTCCATTTGAAATGTTTTGTAGGTTGCGAAAACAATGAGTCTCAGCCTCAGCAGCCTCAGCTGGGGGTGGCGGGTAATCCTCCCGTTTCGTTTCACTCCTTGGCCCGCTGTGAGCTCCACGCTCTATACGAGTACTGCGGCAACGTAGTTGGCTGCCACTTAATGTGTTTTGCATACTAATTAGGTTGTTTGGCGGCTGCCGTCACATTTTCACATTTCAAGTGTTGGAACAGGTGACAGAAAAAACTCAGTACCGTGCAAATGGGGAATAACAACAACAGAGGCAGTAGCAACAGACCCAACTGCACTTGAAAAGCCAACACTTTGAGCTGCAGCCAAGGAAGGTGATTTATTAGGGTTAGGCACTGCGGGGCTAACCAGTGCGCTACTTCAGAATTGAATATCAAAAATAGCTCACTACCAGCAGTGCCTGATTGCGTTATTTCCGCAACTTGAATGAAAAAATCGGCAAAAAATATTCGTGGGGCTGTTCGATTCATGGTCACATACAAATTAATTACAAAATAATACCATTTAAGTGGGCAATTAGGACAATCAGCCCAGCAACTAATCTGATCAACTGTTGGTCATAAAGATTTCGGCAATCAGGGTGCTCCCAACTCTGTTTACCTAATCGATAGTGCTGGAAAAACAGAGGCGTAGATTAGGTTCCCTAGGTGGTAACAAAAACACACGCGAACTTCTAGGGCCAGCCATAAAGATTGACCGATTGCATATATTTGAATATGCTTCGTATCTTATCGGGGGAGTTTGTGTATACATTATTCAGGCAGTAGCTGCTTGACAGTCGGCCATAGCCCAACCTGCATTCGTTCGGTGTCTTGGCTTTTTAATTTGAAAGCGAGATGAGTTTCCATGAAAATGCAGCAGTAACTTGTAAGAAGGGCGTTAGACAAAAACAACTACGGCGCCATAAGCTGTCAAAGAGTGAGGACGCAAAGTGAAAAATGTTTTAATTACTCATCTCTCTGGGCGAATCCGCAGACCTTTTAAGCCCCCGCTCCTTCTCACGACTGACGGCGTTTTCGAGCAGCCCTCACGGAGAGGTCAGCACCGAAACGAAGCTAAAGTCATTAAATTGAAAAACTTTGAGAAACTAAATTTTGATTTGAAATCCTTACGAAATGAGCATCCAATTCACTCAGAAATTGGCTCCAAAGGGCAAATCTTGAAAGGGGTAAAGGCAATTGTTTTTTGGAATACTCCAATGCCTCCATTCTGAAACTCTCCGGTTGCCGTTGTGAGCTAAATAGTTCCCTCAGGGCCGCATCCACTCGAGCCGTGCTAATGAGAACACCCCAGGGACAACGGGACTCTGACACAAGGACGAGCACGAGTTCAGGACCCCAAGGAGCTGCATTATGCAAATACTCGTACGGGCGAGACAATTCCTACTGCATTGGTGGAGTGGAGAGCAGCAACCGAAGGATATTCTCAAGGAGCCCGAGCCGGAGATCCTTAGCCAGAGCCGGGGGCAATGCAGCGTGTTCCATTTGCACACATTTCGACAGGGCAATTAATTATGCTAAATTCGTTTAGAGCTGGAGATTGGTACACGGTTAAAAATGTTCGTAATAAGATAAAAAGTGTGAATTAGAAGAAATCAAGTTAAATAAGGTTTTTAAGATTAATTCTCACTGATTTTTGAGTAAAGTGATTCAAAATTATATAATTCAATCCATAGTTATAAATCAGTAAATATTTAAAAACAAAATAGAATAAATGTTGCATTATTTAAGTTAGAAACAATTTGTTAAATAAACAATATTTAATGTTTTCAAGTTCATGATTATTGACGTGCCTAAAATAAATTAAAGATGAAACATCAAACATTAATCTACCCCGACTTCGACTTGATGCGGCAACCATCCTTGAAAACCGAATGGGGTTCCTTTGACCAGCAACTTGCTGGCCATAACCACCTTTGACCAAAGTATTAGATGCCCGTTAAGTGGGTCTGCGCTGAGATCCCAGCCCTGATGGGAAAGGTTCAGGCCTGGGCTGACATTTGCGCTGGCCATGCGCAATTAATTGCAAAAGTGTTTGCGGACAAATGGCGCTCGGCACACGTGTGGGGCCTGTCCTCTGAACCCCAGCTGGACATGGCCATGGGGAAGTCCTGCGTCAACAACAAGGATATGCCGGGGAATTTCTTTCTGCCAACTCGCCAGCGTTTATGCGACTCAAGTGGCACAGAGACCGAGTGCTGCGGCAGCTCTTTGCTTTGAGGTTATTTGCTTTTAATGACTCGCAAACTACACACACATACCCACATACCGTGGGGTACCACATGGCGTATGCGTCATGTGGGTGCTGGTCGTGTTTTGTGGAGTGCTTAAGTGTTTTCAGATATCGCGCATCAGTAGCCAACGCCAGCCAACCCTGTGCCCATGGTTTGTTGACTTTTAGACGATGTTTGTTTGTCAGCACAATTTTGTTTTCTTTTTTTTTTTTTCTCCCCACCCACCTTTTTTTTGTGCAAATATTCTAGGTTTTTTTTGCAACGTACTTTTTGGCTTTTCATCTTGGCATCAGCGCAGACAAGCAGCCCCATAAATGAGCTTTGAAGTTTGCATACGCGACGACATGGCATCGAGGCTGCATCTCGACGGCTGAAGGGATAATGCGGTGCAATTATAGACAGAGCCGGCCTGACAGCCACACAAATTCCCCCACCCCGCTTATATCCTTGAAAATAAATTGTTTTGTTAATTATTTATGGTTGGTTTAATGAGTGTGTGCCTTACTGTGGGCCGGCTGTACCCACTGTTCTCCGGTGGTCTGGTGGTCTGATGGTCTGGTGGCTCCTTCTTTCGGGACGTAGACTTTCATGAGTTTGTTATACTTTCGCATATTGCAATTATTTTAATGAGTTTTGCATTTAAGCGATTTTATGCAATCATCATCATTCGCAATAGTGTTGTTGGCATAAGGGAATATGCATAATTGCCGTTTTTGCATCATTAAAAAATAAATCCTTACATGTGGCCAGTAGACTCATTAAGAGTTGTGCGAATTGTATAGCCAAATGGTAAACCAGTTGTATCAATGGTCTCTCTTTTATTTAGCCACTGGACTAAATATAATTAAATATTATATATTATAATAATTCTAGTCGAATCCTGACCCAGCAATCTATTTTGAACTGTGCAACCTTTCAGTTTTTCAGTAGCTTGTCACTTTTGTAGCCGTTTGTAAATTTATTCCTAAGCTGAAAACTCCGGATTTTGTAAAAGTAAATTTCCAGTGTCAATCCATAAAAAAGAAAGCAATGGAGGAACTAATTGAAATCGGAAACGCTTATATAAATTCCATTGGCCTGCCCAACGAATTTAGCCGATACTGGAGCCATGTACAACATGTTCTGTTGGACCAGGACGACAACGGACAGCCCCACAACCTGCCGGACGTGGAACTGGTGCCGCTGAATACAGTCCGCCACCAGGAGTTTGATCCTGTCCTCGCAGCGGGTGGAGATGGCCCCCACAACCATCCCCCTCCGATGCACCAAAACAACGGAATCTTGACCCCGGCCCTGATCATCTTCCGCTATCGGAGGCTCCGTATACCATTCTTCAGCTTCGAGCGTCTGATGCCTATTGCTATTCTGTTCTCCGGTGTTCTCTTTAGAAAGATGCTCATTCACTTTGGAATCCAAAATAACCAGGCATTCCTTTTCGGTCTGTCCTACAATACGCATTTTTTGATACTTCAATGCATTATGAACTTTGCCACGCACTGGATAAAGGACTTCCTAAGTGACTGAATAGAGTTTGCAAAATACAAACCTATATTTCATACGAAAACCATGTTTCTTTTATTAATGTTTAGTAGGAAAACACTTTAATTGTTTCGTAATATTTCCACTTGTGGTCCTGATATTAAAAACAATCCCATTAAGCTAATAAACCCTCAAGGGCCATTTAAATGCCAAAATAAACCTTTGGCTCCCCCATAGTATCAGCTGGCCAGTTGGGGTCTAAGATTCCGTAATCATCGTAAACGGACCTTGGTACAAATTCATAAATAATGTACAAGCCGTAGCTTCGAGTAGCCGTCAATGGAAACTCATTTTACTAATCGACTGCCAGCGATTAGAACCAATTCAGATACCAATTAAGATACGCAATGAAATGCGATCGCCACTACACTGAACTTGAACTTAGTGATGAAAGCATTATTATTTTCCTTGGCATTTGCTTATCGTTAAGCCGTTTTATGGGCTCTTCAACGATCCTAAGCCCGAGCACAAGCCTCTTGAGGGCCCGGAGTGATTGCTTATCACTGGCAGCCCCTGTGGGGGCCCCACCTATAAAAGCCTCGCCAATTTGCAGAAAAAGTCAGTTCTGGGCTCGAATCCCAACAGTCTTCAGGTTCAGTTCGAAAACTAATTGAAAACCGGTCGCCATGAAATACTTCTGCGGCATTGTTCTCTTTGTCGCCCTGTTGGCCTTCAGTGTGAGGCCCTCAGAGGAGGCTTGTGGTTACGAGGTGAGGATCAACATAAGGATAATCTTAAATAAGACTCCAAGTGTGACTAAATCAAGGAGATCAAACAACTGAGGTTTGGAACTTTGTACTTAACCGAACACTCCTATTTTGATTACAGGCATGCCCCCAAACCAAGCCAAACATGATCAACATCCACATGGTTCCCCACTCCCACGACGACGTCGGCTGGCTAAAGACCGTTGACCAGTACTTCTATGGCCACAAGAGCAACATCCAGCACGCTGGTGTCCAGTACATCATCGACACTGTGATCGCTGAGCTGATCAAGGACCCCTCGCGTCGCTTCATCCAGGTGGAGACCTCCTTCTTCGCCAAGTGGTGGGCCGAGCAGTCCGAAACTGCCAAGTCCATTGTCCGCAAGCTGGTCAACGAGGGCCGCCTGGAGTTTACTGGCGGTGCCTGGAGCATGAACGACGAGGCTGCCGTTAACTACCAGAGTGTGATCGATCAGTTCACCCTGGGATTGAAGTAAGTTTACCATAAAAGCTCTTAGAAAACAGTTACTCATAATTTATTCCTTTTTTAGATTCTTGGATGACACCTTCGGATCCTGCGCCCGTCCCCGCATTGGCTGGCAGATTGATCCCTTCGGCCACTCCCGTGAACAGGCCTCCCTCTTCGCCCAGATGGGATACGATGGCGAGTTCTTTGCCCGTATGGACCACCGCGACAAGAACAACCGCATTGACAACTTGAACATGGAAATGATCTGGGATGCCAGTGACTCGTTGGCCGACAACGAGCTCTTCACCGGCCTGCTCTACCGTCACTACTCTGCTCCCCCCGGCTACTGCTTTGATGTCCACTGCGGCGACGACCCGATCATTGACACCAAGAGCTACGACAACAACGTCCAGTCCCGTGTGGATGACTTCCTCAGCTACGTCTCCGGTGTTGCCAAGGTCTACCGCTCCAACCACATCATGATCCCCATGGGTGATGACTTCCAGTACGAAGATGCCCAGGTCAACTTCAAGAACATGGACAAGCTGATCAAGTACGTCAACGCCCGCCAGGCCGATGGTTCCACCTACAACCTGTTCTACTCCACCCCCGCCTGCTACCTGAACTCCCTGCACGAGAGCCTCCAGACCTGGCCCAACAAGACCCAGGACTTCTTCCCCTACGGCAGTGACGACAACGGCTACTGGACCGGCTACTTCACCTCCCGCCCCACCCAGAAGCGCTTCGAACGTGACGGCAACCACATGCTCCAGGTGGCCAAGCAGCTCAGTGTCTTTGCTGACCTGAAGAGCGACCAGCAGAAGGAGGACCTTGAATACCTCCGTGAGATCATGGGTGTTATGCAGCACCACGATGCCATCACCGGAACCGAGAAGCAGGCCGTGTCCAACGACTACGATCGCCTTCTGTACGACGCCATCCTCGGAGGAGCCAACACTGCCGCCGATGCCCTGCGCAAGCTGACCGACCAGCCCAACGGAGAGTTCGAGAGCTGCCTGAACCTGAACATCAGCGTGTGCGCCTTCACCGCCGAAAACGCCGACAACCTGGTCGTGACCCTGTACAACCCTCTGGCCCACACCTCCACTCAGTATGTGCGCGTACCTGTGAAGAACGCCAAATACGAAGTGACTGACGCCAAGGGCCGTGTGGTGACCTCTGAGCTGGTCCCCGTCTCCCCCTACGTTGTGAGTCTGGAGTTCCGTAGCGACGCCACTGAGCACGACCTGGTCTTCAAGGCATCCGTGAACAAGATTGCCAGCTACTACGTCAAGAAGGTGTCTGATGCTGAAACCAAGAAGGCTACCAAGGCTACTAAGGAGGGCAAAATCAAGATCCCATCCAACAAGACTGAATCCGATGATGCCGAAATCCGTGAGGATGGCGAGACTGTTGTCCAGACTTCGGTGAGTATTATTGGCGCTAGTCTGATTTACAAACTTTCTAATGAACCAATTATTATTTTTTCCTTCCATTAGACTGTCAAACTGGTCATCGATAACAACTCTGGTCTCCTGAAGACTGTGGAAATGAATGGAGTTTCCGAGAACATTGACCAGAGCTACGGTGTTTACAGGACTTGGGATTCTGGTGCATATCTGTTCCGTCAGTACCACCAGGGTGACTTTGAGATCCAGAGCGAGGGTGTTGAGTTCACCGTCTACGATGGTGTCCAGGTCAAGGAAGTCCACCAGCGTTTCACCGACTTCATCTCCCAGGTCATCCGCGTCTACGAAGGCATCGACCGCGTGGAATTCGAGTGGCTCGTTGGACCCCTTGAAAGGGAGGAGGAGTTCGGCCGGGAAGCTGTATTCATCCTGAACAGTACTATTGCCTCCAACGGAGTCTTCTACACCGATGCCAACGGTCGCCAGCTGCTCAAGCGCGTGAGGGATCAGCGTGAGGACTTCACCGCTGGTCTGGACAGGCAGCCCACTGCCGGAAACTACTACCCCATCACCTCCCGTATCGCTCTCGAGGACAATAACAAGCGTATTGCCCTTCTGAACGACCGCTCCCAGGGAGGAACCAGCATGCAGGACGGACAGCTCGAACTTATGTTGCACCGTCGTCTCGTTCGCGATGATGGCTTGGGAGTTGGAGAGGCTCTGGATGAAGAGAAATACGGCCAGCCCTTGATTGCCCGCGGCAAGATCTACCTGATCCTCAGCTCCACTGATGATTCCACCACCGTTGAGCGCGTGGCCGAGAAGGAGATCCACCTGCCCTTCTGGAAGTTCTTCAGCAAGAACTCCGGCAGCACCCAGTCCGTGGCCAAGGCTGTTCCCAGCTTCGAAGACTTCCCCCAGACCGTTCATCTGCTCACCCTTGAGCCCTTCAACGACAACGAGGTCCTGCTCCGTGTGGAGAACTTCGCCGACCACACCGAAACCAAGGTTGTTAGCTTCAACATTCAGTCGATCTTCGAGTACCTGAATGGTGTGGAGATCCGCGAAACCACCCTGGACGGTAACCTGCCCCTGAACCAACTGAAGCGCTTCAAGTTCCACCACGACTCCACTGGTCGCCAGCCCCAGGCCGTTGACTACTTCACCGCTGGACACAAGCCCCTGTCTGCCCAGAAGGCCCAGGAAGCCTCCGACTTCAGCGTCACCCTGCAGCCCATGCAGATCCGTACTTTCATCATCAAGACGGAGTAAGCCAAAGTTCTCACCGAGATATGCAGTATTTAATGAAATGTAAATATGTAAAAATTGTAAAATAAAAAGCGAAACATTATAATTTCTCATTCGAAAAACTTTTGGGTTCAATGGGGAAAATTTTCTAGTTTTTGTAAATTACGAGGCTTAACCAGCAGAAATAAAAGTCCAAATCGCCAATAAGGAGGGTTTCCACCTTGTTGGCCCCAAAACATACTGTTTTTCTTGAATTATATGAGAATGAAATTTCAATCAGATGTAACTTCCTCATTTTAGTACAGTTTATTAAAGCTCTACAATTTTTTTGGAAGTGATCCAAGTGAAGGAGAGGGCCTAATAATGGCAACATTTCAGCTTCAACTCATTTTGGTGAAAGTCGTAAAGACCGTACAAATCTGAAACGCAAAAGACGAGTATGCCCTTAGTGTATACACTTTTCCGCATCCGTGGTACCAAAATGAAGAATTAATGAAAAATGCGAAATTATGAGGTTTTGAAACAAAAATCGTTCATTTCCTCTTTTTTTGTTGCTCATTATTTTTTTTTAAGAAACAATTTTCAATATTTTCAGACGATTCTTCACCGATGCTCCGGTCTGAGTAATATGTATGGTAAATTTTATGACAATTGTACTCTAGAGACAAAAGAGCACAAAAAAAATCGTCTGAAAATATATCTAAAATATCTCTCAAAGGCTAATCAAAGCCTTTATGTGTTGTCGTCAAGCACACTTTATCTTTAATGTACTTTCAGCTTTTTAGGACAGGTTACTATATTCAGCATTTCTTTTTAAAGTTTTAGTTTTACTATTTAAAATTAAGCGAATGAAAATTCATATATTTAATATTAATTTATAATAGAAAATTGCTTGTATTTAAAATAAAAGGAAAAAAACTTTATTTAATTAGTATTATATGGAACTTGTTGGTTTGACTTTATTAACAAAAACTAATTAGATATGTTTGTTTGTTGGTTCCTAATATATAAACTAATTATTTAAAATTTAATAAGAATTATAATATTATGTAGTTATAATTATAATAATATGTAGCTTTAATGGAATACTCAAGGCATTCACTTAACAATTCTCAACATAGCAACTACTCTTATTAACCAATTTAAATTCCTCGTGTCAATATTCCACTTTAACCTTAAGCCATCCACTCAAGGTCTGAAATGGAGGCATATTAGATACCAAAGAGTGTTGTTGCTTAGCCAAAATACTGTCTGTATAAGCCATTTCCGGGTTTTGAATAACATTCGAATAAATACTCAGCCCTATCTCATCACTTGCAGTTCGCGTGGGACTTTCAATTTCTATTTTTGAGCTTGTCCAGTTATTAAAAGGGGTTGAATGGGTTGATTAATTCCAGTACAAATCCATAAAACTTATTCCCTAACTTTTGAATATGCAATCGGCTATTAAAATCATTTCGACTTATCTCAAGATAAGCACTGCAGGTTCGCCAAAACAGAAGCACTCCCAAAATGGGGCTAATTTAGATACTTATTCAGATAATGCCAACAAGTGTTAGGAATTAAAATTTGTTATGAACCAGCAGGTTTGACATGCCATTGTAAACGTATTCCTAAGTTCCTCTTAGGTAATCGCTCAATTTTACCCAATTGTTTTTTAACGCACTTCAGGTATTCTAATCCGGGAACGGTTCGAGTACTGATTAGTTATCTGCCATCTGGGATACCCCCTATTGGGACCTATATATAAGGACTTATTGAAAGCGAGAAAATCATTTGAAGACTCGTCCGGAGGAGCTGAGGGTCAATCATGAAGTATCTGGGAGTCCTGTTTGTCGCCTTATTGGCTCTTCAGGCCAAGTCAGCACAGGCTGTCTGTGGTTATGAGGTAAGAAAAATGATAGATATTATTTCCGCAAAAGCGAAGGATTATTTAAGTTCCTGCGAAAAAGTGATAAAAGTTTTAAAATAAAACCGTTTCGTGATTTTGTGAACAGTGAGTGCAAGTACCTTAATTAAATTATTGGCTTACAGTCATGCCACGAAACGAAGTCAAATATGGTGAACATCCACTTGGTGCCGCACTCCCACGATGACGTGGGCTGGTTGAAGACCGTAGACCAGTATTTCTATGGACACAAGAACAACATCCAGCACGCCGGAGTCCAGTACATCATCGACACTGTGATCGCCGAGCTGATCAAGAACCCCGATCGCCGTTTCATCCAGGTGGAGACCTCCTTCTTCTCCAAGTGGTGGTCCGAGCAGTCGGAGACCGTCAAGGAGATCGTGAAGAAGCTGGTCAACGAGGGTCGCCTGCAGTTCACCAATGGAGCCTGGAGCATGAACGACGAGGCTGCCGTGAACTACCAGAGTGTGATCGATCAGTTTTCTCTCGGCTTGAAGTGAGTTTAAAAAGGACTTTGATACGAAAGAGTTTCTGGTAAACAAAGCTAATTCAAATCAGATTCCTGGATGATACCTTCGGTACTTGCGGACGTCCGACCGTCGGCTGGCAAATCGATCCTTTCGGCCACTCCCGCGAACAGGCCTCGCTCTACGCCCAGATGGGCTACGATGGCGAGTTCTTTTCCCGCATGGACCACAACGACAAGGGCAGGCGGATGGCCGACCTCGCCTTGGAGATGGTTTGGGATGCCAGCGAGTCTTTGGACATCAAGCTCTTCACCGGACTTCTGTACACTTTCTACTGGGACACCCCTGGATTCTGTTTTGATGTCCACTGCAGCGATGATCCAATCATCGATACTAAAAGCTACGACAACAACGTCAAGTCCAGAGTCGACGATTTTATTGCCTACGCTGCCCAAGTGGCTGAGAAGTTCCGTACGAACCACATCATGATTCCCATGGGAGGTGACTTCCAGTACGAAGATGCTGAGGTGAACTTCAAGAACATGGACAAGCTGATCAAGTAAGCAAGATCATTTTAAAAAGCATAAGTAAAAAAATAAACAGCCATTGCACAACACTCATAGGTACATAAATGAACGCCAGTCAAGTGGATCGAAGTACAACATCATCTACTCCACTCCGGCGTGCTACCTGCACTCGGTCCACCAGAGTGTGCAGTCCTATCCGAACAAGACCCAGGACTTCTTCCCCTACGGCAGTGACTCCAACAGCTTCTGGACCGGATATTTCAGCTCTCGGCCAACTCAGAAGCGCTTCGAGCGCGACGGCAACCACATCCTGCAAGTGGCCAAGGAACTCAGTGTCTTCGCTGATTTGAACAGCGAGCAGCAGAAAGAGGACCTCAACTACCTCCGCCAGATCATGGGAGTGATGCAGCACCACGACGCCATCACCGGTACCGAGAAACAAGCCGTGTCCAACGATTACGATCGTCTTCTTTACGACGCCATTCTGGGAGGAACCAACCTGGCCCGCGATGCTCTGAGGAAGCTGACACCCTATCCTAACGGAGAGTTCCAGAGCTGCCTCAACATGAACATCAGCGACTGTGCCTACACCAAGGACAACGCCGATAACCTGATCGTAACCCTGTACAATCCTCTGGCCCACACCACCAAGCAGTACGTGCGCCTTCCCGTCAAGAACGAGAACTTCCAGGTGACCGACGACAAGGGACGCGTGGTGGCCTCCGAGCTGGTGCCAGTATCCCAGCAGATCATTGATCTGGAGTTCCGTGAAACCGACACACAGTACGAGTTAGTTTTCAAGGCTACCGTCGACAAGATCGCCAACTACTACGTCAAGAAGGTTGAGAGTACGAGTGCTGCCCAGCCCCTCAAGGTCGTCAAGTCAGTCAGTGGAGAGACCCGTGAGGATGGCGAGACTGTCGTGCAGACTTCGGTAATTCTAATTTTTATCCTGATTACGTTAAAAATGCATTTTTAGCCAAAATATTATTGATTTCTTTAGACAATCAAACTGACGATCGACAACAACTCTGGTCTTCTGAAAACTGTTGAAATGAACGGCGTTTCCGAGAATATTGAGCAGAGCTTCGGTGTTTATCGGACCTACGATTCCGGGGCATACCTCTTCCGTCAATACAACCAAGGAGATTTTGTGATTCAGGATGGCGGCGTTGATTTCACTGTTTATGAAGGATCTCAAGTCGTGGAGATTCACCAGGTGTTTAGCGAATATGTCTCGCAGGTTATCCGCCTTTACGAGGACTGTGAAACTATTGAATTCGACTGGCAGGTCGGTCCAATTCCACGCGAGGAGGAATTCGGAAACGAAGTTGTCATCGTCTTCAGCAGTGAAATTGAATCCAAGGGCGTGTTCTACACTGACGCCAATGGCCGAGAGCTCCTCAAGCGTGAGAAGGACAAGCGTGAGGACTTTAACTCTGAGCTTGATAGGCAGCCTACTGCTGGAAACTACTACCCGATCACTTCCCGCATCGCCCTGCAGGACAGCAAGAAGCGATTGGCTATCCTGAACGATCGCGCCCAAGGAGGATCCAGCATGAAGGACGGTCAGATCGAGCTCATGCTGCACCGACGACTTGTCCGTGATGATGGTCTGGGAGTGGACGAGGTCTTGAACGAGGAGAAGTACGGACAGCCTCTGATTGCCCGCGGCAAGGTCTTCCTCGTCCTGAACTCTGCCGAGGAATCTACCGCCGCTGAACGCGAGTGGGAGAAGGAGCACCACCTGCCCCTCTGGAAGTTCTTCAGCAAGAACTCTGGAAGCACCAGCTCTCCTGTCAAATCCCTTCCCACCTTCGATGACTTCCCCAAGTCCGTCCATCTGCTCACCCTAGAACCCTTCAATGATGGAGAGGTTCTCCTGCGTGTTGAGAACTTCATGGATCACACCGAAGGCAAGGTCGTCAGCTTCAACATTCGTCCTCTCTTCGACTATCTGAACGGCGAGGAAATTCGTGAAACTACTCTGGACGGAAACCTGCCCCTTAGCGACATGAAGCGATTTAAGTTCCACGCCGAGGGCTCTGGAGTAATGAGTTCTGAACCTGAGTACTACACTTCCGACCACAAGCCTCTGGAAGTCAGTGCGTCGCAGGAGGCTTCTGCATTTGCCGTCACCTTGAAGCCAATGCAGATCCGTACTTTTATTGTTAAGACAAAGTAAATTGCAAAACTTCCGCTGAGCAAACATAAATAAAAATGTAAAATTTACCAAAAACAATAAATTAATTTTTGTTTTGATATAGAATATTTTTCGATCTCTAGTGGGTGGGAGATAATTTTTATTTTATTATTACATTTTCTGAAATTTTATCACTTTGTTAATTCACGAATTCTATCTTTTTTCGTTTTTCTTATTGACTTATTGAATCTCTGACTTTAGACTTTATTTTAAGATATTCTGTTCGTCTATATAACCTGTAGAGATCTCCATCGGATTCTACATATGTGTTTGTTAAACTATATTCGGAAATTAGATGAATTTTTCTTTATTGTTGATGTATTTGCAAACAGTTTGCATTCCAAACTGAATCCCAAACCCCCAGCAAGTTGTCGCAAAAATAAACACTAATTAGATGGTGCTACTTGACGTTTTATTGGTTTTTAATGAGTTTTTAATAGGTTATGAATAGATTACACGTCAGCTTATCATTGTGAGCCTGAACATTTCTTATCAGGTCACACATTGATCCTATAAAGTAGCAGGTCTAGTACAATAGAAGTTCAGTTTTTGCTTTCGATTACCACAGATATGGCAGATCTAAGTGTTATTCTACTAACTACCCTGGCGGTCTTATTTTTACCCCAATCCCAAGCTATCTGTGGTTATGAGGTGAAGAAAAGGTTAAATTTCTTATTGTTTTAAATATTTTTAATTAATTTTTTAGTCGTGCCCAGAAACGAAGGAAGACATGATCAATATCCATCTGGTTCCCCACTCCCACAACGATGTAGGTTGGCTTAAGACAGTAGATCAATCCTACTACGGCTACAAGAACGCCATCCACCACGCTGCCGTTCAGTATATACTAGATAATGTGGTGACTGAGCTCATAAAGGACCCCAAGCGGCGATTCATTCAGGTGGAGACCGCCTTCTTTGCCAAGTGGTGGAAGGTGCAGTCGGAAACCATGCGTCAGGTGGTGAGGAAGCTAGTGAACGAGGGACGCTTCGAGTTCACGGGTGGAGCCTGGAGCATGAACGATGAAGCTTCTGTAAACTACCAGGAAGTGATTGATCAATTCACTGTTGGATTAAAGTAAGCTAAAGTTGACCCTAGTCTTCTTTTTACACAAATTAACTATTTTATAATTTAAGATTCCTGAACGAAACCTTTGGTGCCTGTGCCCGGCCTCGAGTTGGCTGGCAGATTGACACTTTTGGCCATTCCCGAGAACAAGCGGCCATTTTTGCCAATATGGGCTTCGATGGCCAGTTCTTTTCGCGGATGGACCACAACGACAAGGACACCCGTCTGGAGAACCTCTCTATGGAGATGGTTTGGGAGGCCAGCGAATCACTCAGCGGCTTGGAGCTCTTCTCCGGCCTGCTTTACAACTTCTACTCGGATACTCCGGGCTTTTGCTTTGACGTACTCTGTGATGATGAGCCGATTATCGATGGCAAGGGTCCCAGCAACAATGTTGAGTCTAGGGTAGACGAGTTCCTCGACTATGCCGAGGAGGTATCCAGCCATTTTCAAACCAATCACATTATGATACCCATGGGTGGGGATTTCCAATACGAGGATGCCAGAATGAACTACAAAAACATGGACAAGCTTATTAGGTAACATAAAAAAAAGTCTTGATTTTCTTTTATTAACTTTAGATATTAATACATTAGATATGTCAACGAACGTCAAGCCAATGGATCCATCTATAACATCTTCTACTCCACCCCGAGCTGCTACTTGAATTCCCTTCATCGAAGCCTGAAGTCGTGGCCCAGCAAGACCCTGGACTTCTTTCCATATGCCCACGAAAGTTGGAGCTTTTGGACAGGATACTTTTCGTCGCGACCAACCCAGAAGCGCTTTGTACGTGAAGGAAACCAGTTTCTCCAGGTGGTCAAGCAACTGAGTCTGCTGGCCCATCTCTCCAGCGACCAGCAGACCGAGGACCTAGACTATTTGAGGCAAATAATGGGAGTGATGCAGCACCACGATGCCATCACGGGAACCGAGAGGCAGGCCGTCTCCGATGACTACGATCGCTTGACCTATGATGCTATTGTGGGAGCAGCCAACAACGCCCGCGATGCTCTCAGAATCCTTACCAACCTGCCCGATGGGGAGTTCGAGAGCTGCCTCAGGCTGAACATCAGCGAGTGTGCCTTCACCAAGGACGGCGCGGACAACGTAATGGTGACCTTTTACAATCCCTTGGCCCATGAGACGTCTCAGTACATACGCATACCCGTCTTAGAAGAAAATTACGAAGTGACTGACGAGAGAGGAAACAAGGTTCCTTCTGAGATTCTTCCAGTTCCTTGGCAGGTTCTGGCTTTGGAGCACCGACCCAATAATACACAGCACGAGCTGGTTTTCAAAGCAACAGCCAATAAAGTTGCCAACTATTTTATAAAAAGAATGAGGAAACAAAGGAAGAAAAAATCCCTGTCATTCAAAAGAGACCTCGTGATTCTGAATCTGAAGTTGTGGTACAGAACTCGGTAAGTTGATGAAGAATTCAAGTTGCATGGCCTTTATTTACTATCATTCTCTTCAGATCGTTAAGTTAGTTATAGATAGTCAATCAGGACTTCTGAAGAGCATCGAAATGAACGGAGTTTCCCAGGAAATTGTGCAAAACTTTGGAATATACAAAACAAACACCTCTTGCGCGTACACCTTTCGGCAGGAAGATGAGCTCAAGTCAGTTCACGAAAGCATTGAGTTCAGTATTTACGAAGGATCTTTGGTCAAGGAAATCCATCAGCATGTCAACGAGTGGATTTCGCAGGTGATTCGACTTTACGAAGGTGTCAACCGTGTGGAGTTCGAATGGATGGTCGGACCAATCCCCCTGGATGGCGATGTAGGTGGTGAAATAGTTACCAACTTCCAGAGCGGGATTTCGTCAAAGGGTGTCTTTTACACCGATTCTAATGGTCGTGAGATGATAAAGCGCGAAAAAGACAAGCGTGAGGACTTTGTTTCCGACTTGAGCCTCCAACCCATAGGCGGAAACTTCTATCCAGTCACTTCACGCATTGCTCTGCAGGATGACAGCCATCGCTTGGTCCTGCTGACGGATCGATCGCAGGCGGGGACGAGCCTAGAGGATGGCCAGCTTGAAATGATCCTACATCGCCGGCTGCTATTCAACGATGGCGGTGGTGTGGGTGAGCCTCTGAACGAGGAGCAGTTTGGCAAGGGATTGATTGCCAGAGGAAAATTGTACCTTATTTTGAAATCCGTTGAAGATGGAGACACTAGCTCTGAACGGGTGATGGAGAAGGAGCTGTCACTTCCCTTCTGGAAGTTTTTCAGCACAGCTGGTAAAGATGGTAGGGTTTCTTTAGACTCATTACCTGATTTCAATGATCTTCCGGAGTCAATTCACCTGCTAACCCTGGAATCCTTTACTGAAACTGAAGTTCTGCTTCGCCTCGAAAACTTTTTGGATGCAACAGAAGGAGGTCCAGTTACCTTTAACATTCGCCACATCTTCGACAGCCTCAATGGAGTGGAGATCAGGGAGACTACTTTGGATGGGAACTTGCCTCTCAGCGAGATGAAGCGTTTCAAATTCCAAGCTCAGAAATCCGGAAATCCACCCACAGCTTTGGAATACACTACCGTCCAGTTCAAGCCATTAGAGGCGAGTGAGCTTGATGAAGCCTCAAAGTTTTCTGTATTATTGAATCCGATGCAAATTCGCACTTTTATCATTAAAACTGCATAGATTTATGTTAGGAACTTACTAAAATTTTAATAAAACTACTCTTGCATACAAGTATGTGACTTTGTTGTTTTAATATTTCAATGAAATTGGGGCCATGAACTAAGTAATTAATAATTTGAGCAGCAAGAAGTAAAAATTACAAAGCTTTAAAATATCCTAAGATACATTAGACTGGTTACTTTGTAGATTTATTTAAAAATAATTTTCCTAAATTAGTCTTTAATGTTTTGTGAAGATTCCTAAATATTTTCACAAATTATTTAATAAAATTTTTTATAATAAACGACACGCTACACAAACTTTAATGTCTTCAGTGGAACATGCAGGTAATCCGTGTCCAGGAACTCTTAAACGAATATAATTATTAGTTTGCACGGGCATGGAAACCAAAGGGCACTCAACTATTAACTAGATCAAAGGGTGGAGAACAAAAAAAAACTACCAGCGAAGATTAAAGAAACCGCTGTGACTTGACATGGTTATTGCCAAGCAATGGAATTGGAAAACACAAGCTATCTAGCACTTCTGCATGTGTAGCTTTCACTTTTTAGTGATAAGAGCCGGTAATCCGCTGGGTGGCTTCAAAACTTTTTTCATCTTCAAGTGGCTATTAATCAATTAAAAGCCATTTACTCGATTACAATTGAGAATTAGTTGATAAGAAGTGCACTACCATGCCAAATCCGAGATAATATTTACAGCAAGGTTGATTGCCATTCTAGTTTATGGTAAAGGCAACAATATTGCACTGCCTGTGGCACAAATAATGCTCTAGGTGGGTACCTTGGGGACCATTCACTAATCATTGGGTTACACTTAATCGGTTCTCTCGAGTGGAATAATTGAAAACAATTTCAAGTGGCGATTAGTTATCAAAAACGACTTCAGACCTCGTCGAGGAACTTATAAAAGTGGAAATACCTTGTACAGCAGTCAGTTCTAGTCCTGGAGTCAGCAGATCTCGTTGTCCGCAACATGGCTCCTCTAAGGGATCTTATTATCCTACTCATCGTTTGTGGCTCGTTTGTCACTCAAGGCGAAGCAGTTTGTGGCTATGAGGTGAGTTCCATCTAAGACATCCTTCGAACTAAGGTCTAACCAGTTCCTCATTTAGTCCTGCCACGAAACCAAACCGAATATGGTCAATATTCACTTGGTCCCCCACTCCCACGACGATGTGGGCTGGCTAAAGACCGTGGATCAGTACTTTTATGGACACAAAAACAACATCCAGCACGCCGGAGTCCAGTACATCATCGACACTGTGATCTCCGAGCTGATCAAGAACCCCGATCGCCGTTTCATCCAGGTGGAGACCTCCTTCTTCGCCAAGTGGTGGTCCGAGCAGTCGGAGACCGCCAAGGAGATCGTGAAGAAGCTGGTCAACGAAGGTCGCCTGATGTTCACCAATGGAGCCTGGAGCATGAACGACGAGGCTGCCGTGAACTACCAGAGTGTGATTGATCAGTTTTCTGTAGGATTGAAGTGAGTGCTGAAAGATCTTGTTCTTAATTAAGTGGGTATTAAATAATTTCTTTTCGATGGCAGGTTCTTGGACGATACCTTCGGTGTCTGCGGACGTCCTAAAGTTGGCTGGCAAATCGATCCTTTCGGTCACTCTCGTGAACAGGCCTCGCTCTACGCCCAGATGGGCTACGACGGCGAGTTCTTCTCCCGCATGGACCACAACGACAAGGGCCGCCGTATGAATGACAAGGCTTTGGAAATGGTTTGGGATGCCAGTGAGTCATTGGACATCAAGCTCTTCACCGGACTTCTGTACACTTTCTACTGGGACACCCCTGGATTCTGCTTTGATGTGCACTGCAGCGATGATCCAATCATTGATGGCGACAGCTACGACAACAACGTCCAGTCCAGGGTGGATGCCTTCATCGCTTATGCCGCTGAGGTGGCAGAGAAGTTCCGCACCAACCATATCATGGTCCCCATGGGTGGCGACTTCCACTATGAAGATGCTGAGGTTAACTTCAAGAACATGGATAAATTGATCAAGTGAGTAGTATAAAACTACTAAATTAATCCTATACAGTTCCTAACGAAATATCTATTTCAGATATGTCAACGAGCGCCAATCCAGTGGATCTCGATACAACATCATCTATTCCACTCCCGCTTGCTACCTCAACTCCGTGCACCAGAGCGTTCAGTCGTACCCGAACAAGACCCAGGACTTCTTCCCCTACGGCAGCAACACCAACAGCTTCTGGACCGGATACTTCAGTTCTCGGCCAACTCAGAAGCGCTTCGAGCGCGACGGCAACCACATCCTGCAGGTCGCCAAGGAACTCAGTGTCTTCGCTGATTTGAACAGCGAGCAACAGAAGGAGGACCTCGACTACCTCCGCCAGATTATGGGAGTGATGCAGCACCACGACGCTATCACTGGTACCGAGAAACAGGCCGTGTCCGACGACTACGATCGTCTTCTTTACGACGCCATTCTGGGAGGAACCAACCTGGCCCGCGATGCTCTGAGGAAGCTGACACCCTATCCTAACGGAGAGTTCCAGAGCTGCCTAAACATGAACATCAGCGACTGTGCCTACACCAAGGACAACGCCGATAACCTGATAGTAACCCTGTACAATCCTCTGGCCCACACCACCAAGCAGTACGTGCGCCTTCCCGTCAAGAACGAGAACTTCCAGGTGACCGACGACAAGGGTCGCGTGGTGGCCTCTGAGCTGGTACCAGTCTCCCAGCAGATCATCGATCTGGAGTTCCGTGAAACCGACACTCAGTACGAGTTGGTCTTCAAGGCTACCGTCGACAAGATCGCCAACTACTACGTCAAGAAGGTTGAGAGTGCGAGTGCTGCCCAGCCCCTTAAGGTCGTCAAGTCAGTCAGTGGAGAGACTCGTGAGGACGGCGAGACTGTTGTGCAGACTTCGGTAATTATCATTTTTATCCTGATTACTTTAAAAATTCATTTTTTAACCAAACTATTATTGATTTCTTTAGACAATCAAACTGACGATCGACAACAACTCCGGTCTTCTGAAAACTGTTGAAATGAACGGCGTTTCCGAAAACATTGAGCAGACCTTCGGTATTTACAAGACCTACGATTCCGGCGCATACCTCTTCCGTCAATACAACCAAGAAGCAGCTACGATTCTGGACAGCGGTGTTGAATTCACTGTTTACGAAGGATCTCAGGTCAAGGAGATCCATCAAGTCTTCAACGAGTTCCTCTCGCAGGTTATCCGCCTTTATGAAGGCAGGAACACCGTCGAAATTGAATGGCTTGTCGGTCCCCTTCCTCGCGATGAAACCTATGGAACCGAAGTCATTACCGTATTCAGCAGTGAAATTGAATCCAAGGGCGTGTTCTACACTGACGCCAACGGCCGAGAGCTCCTCAAGCGTGAGAAGGATCAGCGCGAAGACTTTACTTCCGAGCTGGCTGTGCAGCCGACCGCTGGAAACTACTACCCGATCACTTCCCGCATCGCCCTGCAGGACAGCAAGAAGCGATTGGCTATCCTGAACGATCGCGCCCAGGGAGGATCCAGCATGAAGGACGGTCAGATCGAGCTCATGCTGCACCGACGACTTGTCCGCGACGACGGTCTTGGAGTGGACGAGGTCTTGAACGAGGAGAAGTACGGACAACCTCTGATTGCCCGCGGCAAGGTCTTCCTCGTTCTGAACTCTGCCGAGGAATCTACCTCCGCTGAACGCGAGTGGGAGAAGGAGCACCACCTGCCCCTCTGGAAATTCTTCAGCAAGAACTCTGGAAGCACTAGCTCTCCTGTCAAATCCGTTCCCAGCTTCGAAGACTTCCCCAAGTCGGTTCATCTGCTCACCCTAGAACCCTTCAATGATGGAGAGGTTCTTCTGCGTGTTGAGAACTTCATGGATCACACTGAAGGCAGGGTGGTCAGCTTCAACATTCGTCCCCTCTTCGACTATCTGAACGGAGCTGAGATCCGTGAAACCACCTTGGACGGAAACCTGCCTCTGAGCGACATGAAGCGTCTTAAGTTCCACACCGAAGGATCAGGAGTGAGGGGATCCGAGCCGGAGTACTACACCTCCGCCCACACGCCCCTGGAGGTGGATGCTTCTCATGAGGACTCCGACTTTGCTGTCACCTTGCACCCGATGCAAATTCGTACTTTCATTGTAAAGACAAACTAAGCAGTAGCATTAAAATAATGTAAATTAATGTCATTGGCGAAATAAATAAAATATTTTCATTATATAAAAAAAAAAATGCTTATTTTTATTTTTTTCTAATAAACTGGTTAGATTAATGAATATTAACCTTGAATCAAAAATAATATAATTTGCATCGAATCTTTACTTTAGAAATTGGTTTAATATCATCATAGGAACTCTATCAATGAGTCTTTAGCAATGAGACTTATTTTATTCTGTGCCTTTCCGTTCTCATAACTTCAATAAATCGATTCCTGGTTTATTTTCCTTTCTAACCATACACATATATTTATTAGCATACATTTGTACCTTTTTCTTAAGGCAACGATTCTTAAAATAAACTAATAAATTCAAGTAATGTATGAAAATAATTCTGGTTTAAACTATTTTTGAATGTTAGTTATAATAAAAATTAGCTAAGCCGTTTATACCAGCCGTGAATAGAAAGAAACTAAAAGAAAATAAAACTCTAAAAGATTTTTTTCTTAAGCGAAATAATTAAACCTCCAACATTTTTGCAAAAAATGTATAGGAAACAAAAGATATTCAAGAATTTTAAATTTAAAAATATATGTAAAACACACCATATTATTAGTGTGTTATCAACATGATTGGCTTTTGGACATTACTGGCTTAAAAAGTCATAATCGGCAACTTTTACAACCAATTAGTGATAAGGTTCTGTCATGAAGGGGTCGACACCAGTAGCTTTTAGTTATCTTTGAGTGGCACACTCAATTAAAATCCATTCAACGCGATTAAATATTGGGAATTACTGATAAGCGTCAAACTTGCCAAATCAGAAATAATATGTACTGGATTAGTGGGCGTTTTAATTCAAGGGAAAATACACAGTCCATAAAACTCGTGGTTATTTTCCTTGACAACCATTGGCTTATCGTGTTACACTTAATGGGTTCTATTAACTGGGCAAATTCAAAATATTCTTGAGTAGCAAAATACCTCTTGAGAAGTAAATTTATAAGAACCCCCATTGAGTACCTTATAAAAGTAAGAAATTCGTTTCGAAAAAATTAGTTCTTGATTTGGATTCGACACTTCTGCAGTTCTTCAATATGGACACGCTAAGGTTTCTAGGAATCTTCCTGGTCCTTTGTGGATTGTACGCCACCCAAGCCGAAGCGGTTTGTGGATATGAGGTGAGAATATCCCAGGGAATATAAGGATATCCACAGGCAGGCTCTAACCTTGTCCTTTTAGTCATGCCACGAGACCAAGCCCAATATGATCAACATCCACTTGGTGCCCCACTCCCATGACGACGTGGGCTGGCAGAAGACCGTTGACCAGTACTTCTATGGACACCGGAATAACATTCATCACGGCGGAGTCCAGTACATTATTACGACAGTGATTGAGGAGCTGGTCAAGAATCCCGAACGTCGCTTCATTCAAGTGGAGATGTCCTTCTTCTCCATGTGGTGGGCCCAGCAGTCGGAAGTCACCAAGAATATCGTCAAGAAACTGGTGAACGAGGGTCGCCTGCAGTTCACCAATGGAGCCTGGAGCATGAATGACGAGGCCAATGTGAACTACCAGAGTGTGATCGATCAGTTTACCCTGGGCTTGAAGTAAGTACTAGAGGGATTTCACTTTTAGAATTCTCTTTAAGACTAGTCTAAATCAATTTCAGGTTCCTTGATGACAACTTCGGTTCCTGTGGCCGTCCCACTATCGGCTGGCAAGTTGATCCCTTTGGCCACTCCCGAGAGCAAGCTTCCATCTTCGCCCAATTCGGCTATGACGGCGAGTTCTTCTCCCGCATGGACCACAACGACAAGGACCGGAGACTGCAGGACCTAGCCATGGAGATGATCTGGCATGCCAGCGAGTCCCTCAGCGACCTTAAGCTCTTCACCGGCTTGACCTACCGCCACTACTCCTCTCCCGACGGTTTCTGTTTTGATGTCAACTGTGGAGACGAACCGATTATCGATGGAAAGAGTTACGACAACAACGTAAAGACCCGCATCGACGACTTCCTCAGCTACGCCTCCAAGGTGGCCGCTGCCTTCAGGTCCAACCACATCATGATTACGATGGGTGGCGACTTCCAGTATGAAGATGCCGCACATAACTTCAAGAACATGGACAAACTGATTAAGTAAGTTAAACTGATTAGCCATTTTTTCCAATTTTATTAAATAATTATTATATTCCAGGTACATCAACGAACGCCAGTCCAGTGGCTCTAACTATAATATTGTCTACTCTACCCCCGCTTGCTACCTCAACTCTGTTCACAAGAGTGGCCTTTCCTTCCCTAACAAGACCTTGGACTTCTTCCCCTTCGCTAGTGATTCGAACAGCTTTTGGACTGGATACTTCACAAGCCGTACCACCCAGAAACGCTTCGAGCGCGTCGGCAACCACATCCTGCAGGTCGCCAAGGAGCTCAGTGTGTTTGCTGATCTCCCAGCTGAGCAGCAGAAAGTAAACCTGGACAGACTTCGCTCGATCATGGGAGTGATGCAGCACCACGACGCTATCACCGGAACAGAGAAGCAGGCCGTCTCCAACGACTACGATCGCCTGATGTACGACGGTATATTGGGAGCCACCCAGACGGCCGCCGTTGCTCTGAGGAAGTTGACACCCTATCCTAACGGAGAGTTCCAGAGCTGCCTCAACATGAACATCAGCGATTGTGCCTTCACCAAGGACAACGCCGACAACCTGGTCGTAACCTTGTACAACCCTCTGGCCCACACCACCAAGCAGTACATGCGCCTTCCCGTCAAGAACGAGAACTTCCAGGTGACCGACGACAAGGGTCGCGTGGTGGCCTCCGAGCTGGTACCAGTCTCCCAGCAGATCATCGATCTGGAGTTCCGTGAAACCGACACTCAGTACGAGTTAGTTTTCAAGGCTACCGTCGACAAGATCGCCAACTACTACGTCAAGAAGGTTGAGAGCCAAAATGCCGCCCAGCCCCTTAAGGCCGTCAAGACCGTCAGTGGAGAGATTCGTGAGGACGGCGAGACCATCGTACAGACTTCGGTAAATATTACTATCCTATTTATTGGGACAAGTTAAGTGGCAATAAGGTTTCTTAATTTTTTAGACAATCAAACTGACGATCGACAACAAATCTGGTCTTCTGAAAACTGTTGAAATGAATGGCGTTTCTGAGAATATCAAGCAGAGCTACGGTGTTTACAGGACTTGGGACTCTGGTGCATATCTGTTCCGTCAATACCACCAAGGTGACTTTGTAATTCAGGATGGAGATGTCGAGTTCACTGTTTACGAAGGAGATTTGGTTAAGGAAGTTCACCAAAAGTTTAGCGACTATGTCTCGCAGGTTATTCGCATCTACGAAGACAGGGAGGCCATAGAGATTGATTGGCAGGTCGGCCCCATTCCTCGCGAGTCAGATTTCGGCAACGAAGTCGTCATCACCTTTACCAGTGAAATCGACTCCGAAGGTGTGGTCTACACTGACGCCAACGGTCGCGAAATGATCAGACGCGAGAAAGACAAGCGTGAAGGATTCACTCCCGAGCTTGATAGACAACCCACTGCTGGAAACTACTACCCCATCACTTCCCGTATTGCTCTGCAGGACAGCAAGAAGCGAATGGCCGTCCTGAATGACCGTGCCCAGGGAGGAACTAGCATGCAGAATGGCCAAATAGAGCTCATGTTGCACCGTCGCCTCGTTCGGGACGACGACAAGGGAGTGGGAGAGGTCTTGAACGAAGAGAAGTACGGTCAGCCTCTGATTGCCAGAGGAAAGGTCCTCCTGGTCCTCAGCCCCGCCGATGAGTCCACCTCAGCGGAACGCGACTGGGTGAAGGAGCACCACCTGCCCCTGTGGGCCTTCTTCAGCAAGAACACTGGAAGCACCAGCTCCCCTGCCAAGTCGCTTCCCAGCTTCGATGACTTCCCCAACTCCGTCCACCTACTCACCCTGGAACCTTTCAACGACGACGAGGTTCTCCTGCGATTGGAGAACTATTTGGATCACACGGAGGGCAAAGTGGTTAGTTTGAATATTCGTCCCCTCTTTGACTATCTGAACGGCGTAGAGATTCGAGAAACCACCCTGGACGGAAACCTTCCCCTGAGCCAAATGAAGAGATTCAAGTTCCACGCCGAAGGTTCTGGACCTATTCCATCAGAGCCTGAGTACTACACCGCTTCCCATACTCCATTGGCTGCGAACTCTTCGCAGGAGGCATCCGACTTTGTCGTCACCCTGAAGCCCATGCAGATTCGTACTTTTATCGTTAAATTCCAATAACTCATTAAATTTTAAATGTAACAGCTTAATTTTAAAAGCAAAAAAATAAAATACGAACGACAATACAAACTTGTTGATTTTTATTACAAATGGTTTCAATAGTTTAATTTACATAACAGTTTCAACATTTTCTTTTGCTTATCATAGGTACCTGGTCTTGATGAAATGTATATTTTTTTTAAATTTTTCATTTTTTCATACACTATGAACCTTATAAAAACTATTACTTTGTAAATAATTTGATTCAATAAAAGGAATCCATTTTGTGAATATTTATTATTAATATCAGTTGAAGACTAAATCACTTAAAGTTGATTAAAACTTTTTAAATAAATACTTTATTTGGGATTTATACTTATATTTTTTGACCATTCCATGACATAACACAAGTGATGGATATTTTAAAAAGTATACATCTTGAGTGGTTTGCAGTCTACGTGATCCACTTTTTGTATGATTCAAACGGCAGTATCGTAGCTAGAGACTTGTGATATTATTCAACATGTGTGGCTTTCACTTTTAGATTAAAAAGCACTTCAAGTCCATTGATGGGTTCGAACCCATAAAAGTTTCCTTACCTTTGAGTGGGAAGTAATCAATTAAAATCCATTTAAACAGATTACAATCAAGGGTTCCAATGATAAGAAATGCAATGCCGTTCCAAATTCGCCATAATACTCCGACCCTGTTTAATTGGCGTATTAGCTCATCAAGTTAGCAACTCTAGAACGCTGCATGTGGCACAAATAAAACTCAAAGGTAAGTACCCTAGGGGACCATTTTCCTATCTTTGGGTAACTCTTAATGGGCCCTCCTAACTCGCCTAATTCAAAACATTTTCAAGTGCAGATTAGTTATCAAATATCGGCAAGAACCCCCCATTAAGGAACTTATAAAAGTAAGAATGATTCGCATATGAAGTCAGTATTTGGCCTGGAATCGATAGATTGAGAATTCCGGAAAATGGCGAAGGTGAAAGCCTTTTGTGTTCTAGTAGTCCTTTGTGGCTTTTACATCAGCCAGAGTGAGTCTGTTTGCGGCTATGAGTCCTGTCCGGCAACCAAGCCTGGCATGATCAACATCCACATGGTGCCCCACTCACACGATGACTTGGGATGGCTGAAGACTGTCGACCAGTACTACTACGGCAGTAGGCAGGGCATCCAGCACTCCGGAGCCAAGTACATCTTCGAAAGTGTGGTCACTGAGCTCAGCAAGGACTCGCGCCGCCGATTCATTCAGGTGGAGACCGGATTCTTTGCCAAATGGTGGCAGGATCAGTCGGAGCTCACTAAGGAAATAGTCAAGAAGCTAGTCAACGAGGGTCGCATGGAGTTTACCGGCGGCGGCTGGAGCATGAACGATGAGGCTGCCGTAAACTACCAGAGTGTGATTGATCAGTTCACCCTGGGTTTGAAGTAAGTACATATAAGGGTGCACTACCTCGAAGTCCTTTACTTACTTTTGTCATCTGAAGGTTCCTGAATGACAACTTTGGTGCCTGCGGTCGCCCTCGCATCGGCTGGCAGATCGATGCTTTTGGCCACTCCCGTGAACAGGCCTCGATATTCGCCCAAATGGGCTTCGACGGCCAGTTCTTTGCCCGCATGGACATGACTGACAAGAACAAGCGAGTGGACAACCTGGGTCTGGAGATGATCTGGGATGCCAGCGAGACCCTCAAGGAAATGGATTTCTTCACTGGAATGCTTTACCAACACTATTCCGCCCCATCGGGCTTCTGCTTCGACTCCCGCTGTGGGGATGAGCCCATTATCGATGGAGACAGCTACGACAACAATGTAAAGTCCCGAGTGGACGAGTTCATCAACTACGCTGCCAATCTCGCCCAGAAGTACCGCTCCACGCACATTATGGTGCCCATGGGCGATGACTTCCATTACGAGAATGCCTACGTGAACTACGAGAACATGGACAAGCTGATCAAGTAAGTTGGATCAACTTTTAAAAGTACTTTGGGTATTTACTGTGAACCCAATTAGGTATGTCAACGAACGCCAGGGAAGTGGATCCAAGTACAACCTCATCTACTCCACTGCGGGCTGTTACCTCAACTCACTGCATCAGAGTCTCCAGAGCTTCCCAAACAAGACACAGGACTTCCTGCCTCACTCCCACGAGGCGAAGAGTTTCTGGACCGGGATTCTTCACTTCCAGGCCAACCGCCAAGCGTTTTGAACGCGATGGCAACCACATCCTCCAAGTAGCCAAGCAACTGAGTGTGCTGGCCAACCTTTCCAGTGAGAAGCAGGCCAAGGATCTGGACTATCTGCGCCAGATCATGGGAATAATGCAGCACCACGATGCTATCACTGGCACCGAAAAGCAGGAAGTGTCCAATGACTACGATCGTCTGATGTACGATGCCATTCTCGGTGGTGCCAATACCGCTCGCGATGCTCTGCGCGTTCTGACCGACCAACCCAACGGAGAGTTCGAGAGCTGCCTGCGACTGAACATCAGCGAGTGCGCCTTCACCAAAGACAATGCCAACAACTTTGTGGTGACCCTCTACAATCCTCTGGCTCACTCTTCCACCCAATACGTGCGAGTGCCTGTCAAGAATGAGAACTATGAGGTGACCGATGCCAAGGGTCGCGTGGTGCCTTCCGAGATTGTTCCAGTGCCTTGGCAAGTCCTGGCCCTGGAGTTCCGCAACAACGACACCCAGCACGAGCTGGTCTTCAAGGCAACTGCCAACAAGATCGCCAGCTACAACATCAAGAAGGTCGACAAGGAAGAGAGCTCTGACATAGTAGCCCAACAGGACACCAGGAACCAAATTTCCACCCACGATGATGGGGAAACTGTGGTGCAGACTTCGGTGAGTCTCTTTCTCTTCCCAGTTTTGTATAGTTTTTCAACCAACACCCTTTTTCGTTAGAAAATAAAACTGGTGATTGACAACCAAACAGGCCGTTTGAAGACGGTGGAAATGAACGGAGTGTCGGAGAGAGTTGAGCAGTCCTTTGGAATGTACAAGACTGCCCGGTCATGCCATTACATTTTCCGCCAAGATGAGGACTTGCAAATCGTTGACGATGCCTACGAGTTCTCGGTGTACGAGGGCGACTTGGTCAAGGAAGTCCGCCAGCAGGTCAACGAATGGATCTCCCAAGTAATCCGCATCTATGAGGGTGGCGAACATGTCGAGTTTGAATGGCTTGTGGGTCCGATCCCCGTGGACGACGATCTGGGCAAGGAGATAGTGACTATTTTCCAGAGCGACATATCCAACAACGGAGTCTTCTATACCGACTCCAATGGCCGCGAGATGCTGCGCCGAGAGAAGGATAAGCGCGAGGACTTCAGCCCCGACTTGAGTGAGCAGCCCGTGAGCGGCAACTATTACCCGGTCACCTCTCGCATCGCCCTGCAAGACAGCAACAAGCGTCTGACCCTCCTCAATGATCGGTCCCAGGGAGGCACTAGCCTGCAGAACGGGCGCTTGGAGATGATGCTGCACCGTCGCCACCTGTTCCGGGATGGCTCCGGTGCCGACGAGGCCATTAACGAGCAGCAGTTCGGAAAGGGTCTGATCGCCCGTGGAAAACTGTACCTGTCCCTCAGTGCCGTGGAGGATGAGCCCACTGCCCTCGAGCGCATCGCGGAGAAGAAGATTCACCTGCCCTTCTGGAAGTTCTTCAGCAAGGAGAGTGTGAAGGAGGTGAAGCTGTCGCTGCCGGACTTCAACGATTTCCCCGAGTCGGTGCATCTGCTCACTCTGGAGCCCTACTCCACCGATGAGATCCTCTTCCGGGTTGAGAACTTTTTGGACCAGACCGAGGGCGGCGTGATTAGCTTCAACATCCGGCCCATTTTCGATAGCCTGGGTGGTCTGTCGATTCGCGAGACCACCTTGGACGGCAACATGGCCCTCAGTGACATGAAGCGTCTGAAGTTCCACCACGATGGTGCCGGGGCTAGCCACTCCACCCCCGAGTACTTCACCAGCCTGCACAAGCCCCTGGAAGCGGAGAAGTCGCAGGAGGACTCCGAGTTCAGTGTCACCTTGAAGCCCATGCAGATCCGAACATTCATCATCAAGAAGGAGCTCGCCTAAGAAGGACGTCATGCTATTATTAGATGTATTACAAAGTATTCCACACGTAGCGGCGCCAGGGTCAACCTGCTCAAATAAACGATCTGCAATGATAATTACGAGCTGGTAATGTCGATTCGAGATTATCAGCCGGCTTTTCATATTTCCCGCTTACAATGCAGATACATTTGCTGCATTGGCTTCCGGCCGCAGCACCACCCATCGCCCAAAAACCACATCCTGCCAGACAACACCTCAAATCCCCTGGCCTGAGTCGACATAAGTCCTTTGGTTATTTGGTGAACCCATCGCCCCGTCGTTTGCATTTTTGTTGTGAGCTTTCCGGGTGCTAGCTGTGTGCAGTGCTATACTATATATAGTATATGTACAAGTATAAATGATATCTGTGTGCGATAGCATGTTGTTGCTGCCCTAATGCTGCTAATGTCTGGCACTCGAAAAAAGATTTTCGCCCAATGCCCGATACCCTCGGCCCCCAGCCCCGCCTCGGCCACAGCCCACTAAATACTTTTGTGCCAACACCAAACAGGAGCCGGAGGACTTTGGTCCTGGGCTTTTATTATTAAGTTCGCCACGGGAGACTTTAATCTTCAGCCTCCTGGTTGGGACAGCCGACTCACACCCTCGGACGTTCTCTGCTCCGATTCACTTCACTGCGATGCAAAACAATGAACTGCTGAATTCATGCCATATGTGTGTGTATGTGTCCTGGGTCCTGAGTCCTGAGTCCTGGATCCAGGGAGATGGGAAAAATTATTTAATATTACCCGTCTTAGGCGATGAGGCGAGCCCGGTTGAGGCGTGGCTCGGTCTTAATCCTCCGGCGAGCATTAGACATGGAATTTAATTTAGTTCCAGCTGCAGCCTGTAACGGCAGGACTTAGCGCTGTATGTCCTGGCATATGTGTGCCAAGTGCCAAGCTTCATGCCGACTTTTGGCAGACTTGGCGCTTTTAATTCAAACGAAACCCATACACGACCACTCGCTCACCCACCGCCTGTTTACTCGTTCAGCCGAGAAGATAATCCAACTTTGATTAAGCAATTTCAGCTACGGACCCCATAATGAGTTGGGTGTTCAAATCCAAGTCTCAGTCGCAAACTCCCATGTGAGTAACCAACGAAATAAGCCACAAACAAACGAAGGGGAAAAATGGAAAAGCTACCATCCACTTTATCCTTTCATACTGATTAACACAGAGAATCCTTTTGGAATATTTTTGTACTCCTGCTGTTAGCAGTTCCTTATTTTTGCGATTTTCGTGTTTTATGTGATAACCGCTTGGCAATTACCATAATAATGTGTTAACTGCTCAGCCATTTGATATTTTCTTAATTGATTGGCAGTTCTTCACGATGTGTGGCTTAATTGGTTTATTAATGTTTCTAATGTTTCTAGGTTTCTCTTAGTTGCTTACTAAACCAACGCTTAGTGTTTAAACGGAATGGAAGCACTTGAGCCAGAACACATAGGAATCGAGCCAAAGAGGCGAGAAAAAATAAAAAGCTAAACAATGGGCAAATGGTAAACTAAGCGGCTAAACAAATACCGTCATCGGGCATAAATCCTCTCACTAAAGCGCGCACTCGACAACCCAATAATACGACTACAACAGCGGAACACAAAAACAAAAATAAATAAAAAGAACAAGTCAAAGTGTGCTTTTTGGCACTTCAAATACAGGCAACTGCAGTGGGCTTATAGACAATCGAGCAGACCCCGTCGAACACATCGGAGCTCTCCTCGGGCCCTCGTCGCTAAATTGTGGGCAGGTTTACGTTGAACGTTGAACGGTGCCGTGTGTGTGTCGTTTTAATCAACGGCAACATGCAGCGGATTATCCGGCAGCTAAACAACACCCAGATGCCAATGAATAGACAGCCAATTGGTGCCACGATGTTGCAACTCCTCGCCCTGCCTGCTGCAGCCATAACAATTAAATTCGCATGGAGGCCTACTTAGGGTCTATAAAATTGCGATCCCCTGCTGACAAAGGGACTTCCGAATACACGGGGAGAAAATTGAGAATACTTAGGGCTTCAAAGGGGTGACATTAAAGTTTTGGGATCATTATGAGGAGTATCATTTCTCTCTGTGTAAGAGATTGCTTTTGATAAATTTCGAAACGCTTGCGAATTTATTGAACCGCACCGAATGTCATTGATGTCATCATCTGCCATATCAACTCATGACGATGATCACAGTCGACACAGTCGGGGATTCACTTTTTTTTTTTTATTAGCAACAAGTTTTTAATATCGCAGCAGGAGCTCATATCCACGGCGGCTGCTAGCACCATGAAAATGCCTCAAACTTACAACAATAGAGCCCTAGTCTATCTATATCCCAAACCTCCTGTCCCTTGCCGCGGATTCATCCTTGAGAGCAGCATCCCTCAGCGAGTGCCGATTTTATAAGAATTTAATAAGCGCCACGTATTTTCATGTTAAGGATGTGTTTCGGTTTCCTTTCTTTTGCGCAGTTCCCTGGAATCATTCACACAGGAAGTTGGGTGTAAATATTCACAAACAGATAAAGTTTTGGGGGTTTAAAGATTTAATAAATTCATAAAATAAATCTCTGATAGAAGTTCGTAAAATAATAGTATTAAGGACTTAAAAAAGAAGCCCTAAGAATAATTTGAAAGTAGTCATGATTTTCTTCACTGTACCTTACCTTTCAACATCTCAGCGTTTTCTTCATTACATCATAACGATTATGAAATAAATACTTCCGTTTCTTTGAAACGTCTTGGGGTGCGGGGTGCAAGGATATGCTGCTTTTCTCAACGCTCCGTGATTTTCCATAGAAGAGAAATAAATCAACTGCATGTCCTGTTCCTGGCGATTGCCAGGACTCCTCATTCTTTTCTCCTCGGCCCGGGTATCGTGTATTTATTGTTGCGTTTTTAAGTTTGGAATTTTTAATTTATTGCGCATCCTTCATTGTTGAGAGTTATAATTCTTGCATCTTTGGGGACCGGGTCGGGCCTGCTTAAGGAATAAAATATATTTGCCAGCGAGTCTCGAAAATTATGATGTATGTGCAATAAATAATCCGAAATAAATAAATTATCACCCGAGTAGAGGTCTGGGGCAGAGCGGCCCGGAGTGGCGCAGCTAATAGATGCCGGTTTCTCGGTCTCGGTCTCGGTTCGGATTCGGACGGGATTGCCTTTTTCCCATTTGGCCTACTAGGACTATCAGGTCCTGGGTGCAGGAACTTTTCCCTTTCGGTTTTACACATTTACAAGGGTGCTAATGTTAGTTTTGTGCACTTTTTCTCTGGTTTCTCTGGTCGTGTGACTTCCTGCTCCTTGGCAATCCTTTGGTTGGGCCATAAATCAAAGCTTGATTTGGCGCCTCGCATGTGTCCCCGGGAATGTCCTTTGTCTGTTTGCCTAGCACACGGCATCCTTTTGTTTTAATTCGCCAAATGTACTCGTCCTTGTCGTCGACTCTCCAGCTTCTTCCCTGCCAACTCTCTGATATCCTTTTTGTTTTTTTAGCAAGGGGTTAACTCTTTTAACCCTTGGCAGGCAACTACTCTTCGGTTAACCACGGACAACGTTGGATGACATTTTCCAGGACATATTGCCACGACACTGGGGTCAACCTTTTTGGTGTTCATTGGCTGTCCTCTCGCCGCGTATGAATGCGCTTTAGTCCTTAAGTCTCTGGGCTTCGTGGAAGTCTTTTAGTTTATTTAACTTTTGGATAGTATATATATTAGTTTTATTATGCAAGGATAAATATTTAAATCAGGGCAGAAATAATTAAAACTCTGCAATCAATTAATAATGAAATGTTATTTTATAAGAAACCCAATGAAAAGCTTTATACTTTTGCCCTCTTGGCCTGACCCCGGAACATTACACACCCCGACGCAGATGCAGATTCAGGAGCTGGGGAGGAGCTGGACCCGTACCCGGGCAGGGTCAGGGGCAGAGACTGGCCCCGAGGGTAGGGGCAGCATTTTGCCGTAACTGTCTTTGTCGCAATGTCGTAAATAAAGTCGGGGCAGGCATCCTCGCTGAACATTGGAATTTATGCGCGTTGATTTATTTGCTGTTAGCGATTTATTGCTGCCGCAGCCGCATCCCATCGACCATTGCTCCGCGAGGGACAGATAGAGATGAGGCTAGTCGTGGCAAGAGGGAGGAAGAGGGACGGAGATGAAATTTGTGATGTGACTGCGGACGTCGCCAGGAGTCAGGACACACGTATTGGGCATGTCCTGGTTTCGGCTCGGCTCCTGCTCTCGGCTCGTTATTAAGTTTTTAATTTATGGCCATGTGAAAGCAATGGGATGCAGATCCCGAAAAAAAAGGATCTTCGCCAGCTCCCGTTGTTTCATTTATTTTATAGCCGTGGTATTTTGGCAAAAATTATATTTTAATTGAGCGTTCCGCTCCCGCACCCGCACAGGCTTCCTCCCCACCAACGTCCTGCAGCGGCGTACCCCTCTAATCCCCAGCGGCTGTCAAATAAACGCCCTGCCTTGACAGTTTGCCACTGACAAGCACATCAGCGGCCACAAAAATATTGAAATTATTATGATTTTGTCTCGGTCTTGTTTGTTTAACAGATTCTGACACGCCTTTGGACAAGTTAGTACCCTTTAAATTTAGAAAGTTGGTGGAAGGTAGTCCACGAAGGTGACGAACCGCAAGCCTTATTGTTGAATGATATAATGCATCGGATTAGTTTGGGAAAAGAGTTTTCTTATTTCTATTCTATTCCCAACACATTTTATTCCTAGGGAAATGTTTTAAGTTTAATATATATATAGATATTATAATATTAGATAATAAGGTCCTTGGACCTTAAATAAATCTAATATAACCTTCATACCCTTGGGCATACCCTGTATATGTTAAATAAATATATTAAATTCTGGAAGTGTTTGTTTTTTGGGAGGCGGGGTGTCAGGAAATGCGGCCGGAAGCGATGTCGGCATCCGACGCCATCCAAATGCGGCGTCCGCAGACACACGCAAAAATTCTAATTTCTCCACTCAGTCGAGAACCCAAAAACAGGAACAAACCACAAAAAATATATATATAAAGAAACAACGATAACAAAAACAAGGGTA